AACATCGGCACCTGCATGTTAAGCAATTAAACAAATTTACAAAGAGCAGCGAATATAAACATATATTTTCATTGTTTACTGACATATCTTCTGAAATTTGCGGTAACTGAGTGGACGCGACGTCATGATGTTCCTGGACATGAGACTCCCCCACAACATTATACTCTAGGATTTGAGTTTCAGGATTACCATATTCATCATCGTTGTCTGAAGCGCTAGCATCCTTAGCAAGAAGTTGATATTCCATTGCAATATTTTTGTCATCATCATCATCACCATCATCTTCCATAACCCAGGTAGGGTCATTTTCTCCTTCGACAGACAGATTAACGGCTGGAGCAGCAGATGATGATGTATTATGTGCAAAATTGAAATCAATTGACCTCGTGGGTAAAGCAACATCTTCCTCTTCGGCAATATCCATGTATAACTCTAAAAAATCTTTCTTTGATTGGTTGAGAAATTCTCTGATTACCATTTCTACGTCTTCATCGTCAACAACTTGCATACTAATGTATTGTGATTCACACCATATTCTTGCAGTGACCATATTGATAGATTGCTTACCTTCAAGCGCTAACTTTTGACGAATTTTTTGATGTAGTTCGCTAACTTTTGAGTTTCGCATGATACGTGTTGGCCTTTTCTCGCCATCAAAAATGACACCACGTCGACCTTCCATTCTTAACTAAGAAGTTAAGATGTAGAAGAGTTGTGATGAATGTGGAGATGGTAGGTGTTTATATAAGGAAATTCGGTGCCAATCACGCCTAGATTGGGCAGGAGAGGCGGTTGAGTCACGCCCAGATGGGGTTGGAAAATCCAGTGATTCACGCCTGCATGGGGCGTGATTAGTCACGCCTATTTTGGGCGTGAATGACGTGACATTCACGCCTCATTCAGGCATGAATTGTCCAGCCATTTTTGGGCGTGACTAACTGTTACAGATTCAAAAGTAGTATCCAAACTGCAATATATCTGTAATTATTTATTAAAATAGTAATATTTTAAAAAAAAATTTGCCTTTGCCATTGCTCTAAGCAAGTTTTGACTTTTGAAAGGGAGAAAGTGATATTGTCACGATAAAAATGTTTATGTGAGGAAATTATGATTTTCAAGAATAATATGGTGGGAAAGTCACATTTTTAGAAATATTACCAAAATATTATTTGGTAAGTTAAAATATTATCAAGATTTTGTTCCAAAAAAATGTAAAAAAATTTCAACACTTTAGATTTTAAGAAGACCACCCCTTTTGTGGTATTCTTGGATGACATTTTGAAAGAAAATTATACACAAAATAAAATCTCGAGAAAATTAAATTTCCGGGAAAATTTTCAAAAACCTTGTACCAAACATGAGTAAATAGGATTACTACTATCACTTTTCCGAGAATTTCAAAAAAATTCCCCCATCAAACACCCTATTGGGGGTTTTTGTTCGTAAGGGAAAATATTTTTCCATATTGTTAAAGGCATCTTGTCTCGTCCTCTCATATCATAGAGAAAAACATGTGAGGTCTATTTTTTATGAAAAAAATAAAAATAAAATAAAAATAAAGAGATTCACACATTTATCTCTATAACATGAGATAAAATATCTCCAACAACATAAAATTGATAAATTTAATGCAAAAATTTATTACTCCTGCCTAAAGACTGAGGGAGCACATTTGTTGAAAATTTAGACAGTTAGTAATGAGAATGAGGGAGCACCTGAAAATTTAGAAATGTTGTTGGTTAATTGTAACATTTATACCTCAATTAATCAGTTTGGTGAATACTAGCTATTAATTTTTGTTATAAAAAAAACATTATAACACCATTATAAACGAAATTAGTAAAATTAATGACATAATTTTGATTCATTGTTGTTTTATTGTAACTAGAGGTGGCAAAATGGGTTCGCCCGGAGCAAGTTAGGCTGAGTTTGATAACCCGCAAATCCCAAGCCCGCATTGCCACTGGGCGGGTTAGCCCGCCAGCTATTTTTTTTTTTTACTTTTACTTTACACCTAACCTAACTTTATCTCACAGATTAACCTTTTTTATTTGTTTTTCCCAAATCAGCTCTCAAATCTTTTATTTATTAGAATTGTCATATTTATTCATGAAATCATTGAAAAAATGTAGCCATAAAGTACAACTATGGAGGATATTCCAGTGAATAATGTTGTCAACGATGATATTTTACTATGACTAATATTTTTGATATTGCAGAGAACTAAGTTTGTACAAATAATAATAATTTTTTAATTCCTATTCACATATTTTGTTAGGGAATTTTTATATTGACAAACTAAAAGTTTACAAATTATAATATGTACTGTTGATAGTATATACCAACACATAATGTGTTACCCATAGTACATAGTGTAGTTTATAAGTTTGTAAAAAAAAGACTTTGTCAATATAATTTTTTCTATTTTGATAATAGTTCTCGAAAAAAAACTGCAATTATATAAGGAAAAAGTGTTTGTCATTTTAAATGATATAAAATTGTGTCATTTTAAGAGATAGATACAAAATAATATTTTTTATTTAAAATTTAAATTAAAAAAATCACCCACTTTCTCTCCATGATTTTCATTTCTTGTGTCTACCTCTTTTTTAAAATGACATGATTTATGTCCTTTAACAAGGACAAATATCAAACCCATTACATAAAGGGTTTTTCATTTCTCCATTAACTTCAATAAATTTATCTCTAGCAACTCACTTCAAAATTATGTCGCATCGGGAATTAAGGAAATTAATGAACGATAATTTAAAAAAAATATTTGTTTTTTTGTTAATATTGTTAAAGATAAATTTATGTAAAGTTAATGAAGAAACAATAAATTCTTATATGAATACATTGATCCAAAAAATGGCATTTATGGTTGAGAAAAGATTAAATTGATTACTAAAACAATTACAGACAACTGTCACACCAGTAACCAAGGGTGGATGCTAGTTGATATCTTGAGGAAACGTTTAAAAATAAAATAAAATAAAATTGTTGCAATATAGCTACTTCAATCGTTTTTTTATTTAAAAATAAAATAAAATGATTTGGCTATCCTAAACAAACTGCTCCAACTTAGCTTCTCTCTTCGTTCGTGTGCATGAGGACATCCATGTCAAACCTCACGTTTCTTGCATCTCAATCAAACGACACATGATTAATTACTCCCTCCCTTAAAAACTCACTGGAGCTCTGGTTAAATTATTTATCTCATTTTTCCGAGTCAAATATTTTTTATTACAGTTATTTATAACCCATAATAATTTAGAAAACAAGCACACATTTTTATATTAAATAAGGATTTATTGATATTTTTTGTTAGGTGAGAGTCTTCTTGGTGATTTATATTATCCTCTAATACACTCACTCACACAAGAGCTCTTTGAGTTTGAAGTGTGGATATTGCACAAGCTCAATTATTGGTTTATCTTCTTTTGTGCTTTTTTTATTATTATTTAATTCCACGAGTGGAGAGCGGTGATGATCGAACTCGTAACTTTATGGTCACGCTATGATACCATGTAAAGAACCACTTCAACCCAAAACCTTAAGACGTTAGTTAAGGACCTTCTTAATGATTTATATTATTCTCTAACATTTTTCTAAAAAAGTATTCTTTTTGAAATTTTATTAATAACTATCAACTAGTATTTTAAAAATCAAATTTACTTAATCTCAACTGGTCGTATTCCTAGTCTAGTGACTTCCTATTAACAGAACTGCACGAAGAGCAAACAGCCAAATTTTGCAGCAAAAGAAATTTACAGTATGCATGGACTTGGGAAAAAAAATTTCCATTCTAAGGCAGCCAAATACGCGGGGTAGGGGGCCACATTTGGGGCTTTGGAGAAAAGTAAAAGAAATTAAAAATAGCAGATTATGACATATCTACCAGATTGCGCAGCCACGCGTTTCTTTCCCTATTGCTCTTCTTACCCTTCAAATAATAAAAGAGTAAATATTTTTTTTGGTCCTCAGAAAATTAATTTCATGAGGTCCGTTTTAGTCCTTAGCAAATAAAAAGGCCCATCGTGGTCTCTAAAAAATTTAAATTGGACCCATTTTAGTCCTTTTGAGGACTAATATGAGTCTTTTTTGAATTTGTGAGGAACCACGATTTCAACTAAATGGTCCTTTTGAATTTTTGAGGGACCACGATGGACCTTTTTATTTTTTAGGGACTAAAACGGGCCTCGTGAAATTTTCTGAGGACCAAAAATGGTATTTACTCTAATAAAAATTATTAAAAAATAACAAAAAATGCAAATTACAAAATAATAGAAAATATTAATGTATATTTTAAAATTATTTAGTACTACCTTAACTATAATTAATCAATTGTTGATTATTATAGTTAATAGTAATTAATTATTACAATTAATAAAAATTACAAATCATTCATTACTGAAATTGTCAATCAATATTAAAATCATCATTAATTATACCGATTATTTTGTAGATAATATTAATTGATAATTATTAATATGGTATGTGATAATTTTAATTATATATTACTTGATTAATTTTTTATTTAATACTATTGTATTTTTTGTAATTTTGAATGATTTTTATTATTTTAAATAAAAAGTACAGGCGGCGGGATGAAAATATTAATGGGAATAGAATGAAAAAAGAGCCGACAAAATCGCGCGGAAACACACACTTTGGGTTTTTTTTTTTTTCATTTTATTTTCTTCAATAAACCAAGTGCGATGCGCATTTAAGGATGAGCATACTTTTACTTACTAATATTATATTATTGTTAAAAAAAATCCTTAAATGGATATTAATGATGATCAACAGAGCAGTTTTGAACTTAACTCCTTTACTGATTACCAGCAGAATGTAGTATAATCAATCTTATTGTATATAATTAAAGCTTAGAAGTACATTGCAACAACTTTATGGATATAACCCTCAGAAACACTAGAAAATGGAAACAACAATGAAAAAAAAAAGGTGTCTATATAGCACCTTCAACGACCACAAAGCTTTTAGGAAAATGAGTGTTTTGGCGAGTGAGCAGGAGGGTGAACTGGGGCATGGGTAGGAGGGTGATGGTGGTGGCCACCATGATGACGTGGGGGGTGAGTAGATAAGTGGTTTGGAGTGTCAACCGGGGGTTCAACAGGAGTAGGAGCAGGAACAGGAGTCGGAGTGTCAACCGGGGGTTCAACAGGAGTAGGAGCAGGAGTCGGAGTCGGAGTTGGAAGGCAGTAATGGTGGTGGTGGTTGCAAAGGTGGTGGTGAGGTAGGGTGTGAATCTGTAGGTGGCTTCTAACGTGAGCTTGGGGCTCAAAAGCAGCTGGAACAGGAGCCGAAGGGTGATGGTGGTGGTGGTGGTGATGTGGGGGTCGAGGGGATGGAGTAGTAGAGGGAGGCTTGGGGTGATGGTAGTGAGGTGGAGTTGCTATCGGGGGATGAAGACGACTGTGTTCAATAATTTCAAACTCTTGTGCAAACACTGTGACAGTGCTCACTAAGAGCATGAATAATGCTAGAGCTTTGGCCATTGCTCTAAGCAAGTTTTGAGAGAGAGGAAGTGATGTTGTTGTAGTGTGTTTTACAACTATAGGGCTATTTATAGGAGCTGATGAAACTTTCCTATGCTTTTGTTCAGATAAAATTAAAGGATAAAGTGTGTGTCATTTTAAAGGATGTAAAATTATGTTTTTTTTTTTGTGATAACAAGTTGTGTCATTTTAAGTGAGAAAAAGAAATAAATTATGGAAGAGAGAGAGTGAATAAAAAAAAAATAAAAGTGTAGATCTCACTCACTTTTTTATGAAAGTAAAATGACACAAGTTATATCGTTTAAAAATGACAAATATTTTTTCCAAAATTAAATGCAAAAAATTATTACTTCTCGGTACATACTAAAGGAGGAGATTATTTAGAGTTAACCGAGACCACCATTTTTTAGGTGTCCCTTAGTGTAAACAGGAGCGTAAAATCGAAAAAGAGGAAAAATAACAAGGAAAAAAAGGGAAAGAAAAAATTAATGATGTGAGAAGGAGTACCAAGAAATTCAGTGGTCATTTACCGTATTAAATATTTCCTTAAAGGAGACTGTTGTTAGACACGGTTAGAATTGAGAATGAGAGAGCAGATTTGTTGAAATCATAAGTAGCGTTGACTAGTTTAATTGTAACATTTTATATTAATATATAACAGATTTATTGAAATCAGAAGTACTGTTGATTAATTTAATTTTATTATTTTATATTAATGGGAGTGGACCTCTCGTGTTGAAAAAAATATGATATGATTATGTGAGTAATCATAATCATACGAAGGTGGATCAATTGTATATATTAATATATATCACATTTGAGATCACAAATACTGTTGACTAGTTTAATTGTAACATTTATACCTCATTAATTTAATCAGTTTAATAAAGACTAGCTATTAATTTTGTGTGAAAAATAAATACATTCCAACACCATTATAAATGAAAATAGAAAAAAAAAATACTAGTTTTGAATCTTTGATTAATAGTTGCTATAACATTTTCTCAATAATAATTTTTATATAACAATTATTATTTAGAAAATATTAATTGCAACAGTTAATCAAAACTAGTATTCTTTTTCTATTAAATTTTCACGAGATCGTGGTTAGAAAAAGAAGAAAATAAAATTTCAAATAAGAACAAATAAATGAAAAATTAATAAAATTTAAATTTTTTAATTTTCACATTTCCTGAAAATTCTCATTATTATTTATTTATTTATTTTACACTATCATCTATTTTTATAACAATAAATATTTGAAGAGTTTGATTACAACAATTAAATAATATTTTAAATTCATAAAATGTTACGATAATCTATTTCTATGTGTTTCGTTCTCTCACATAGAGTATTGGATTGAAAATAATATGAACAATTGCTTAATTGATTGTCACAAAAAGGAGAGTACTAGACGAGGAATACTAAACTCCAAGATCATATAGCAATTGAGAGAGCTAGCATAAATCGACTGCATTACTGGCTGCCATGGATCTATACTTAGCCTTTGCTGAATTCCTTGAAATGGTAGTCTGCTTCTTAGCTTTCCAAGAGATTAAAGAATCCCCAAGGAACACACATAATTAACTCAGTATTGATTTTCTATATTCTAGACAACCAGCATAACGAAAAGCTTAAGCTGAAGATTAGAAGAAGAGGGAAATAACAGGCCCCGCCCTAGATTCCTTTAGGCTTTGTTTGGGAGTTTGAAAGGGAAGGAAAGGAGGGGAATCCAAGGGGGAGGGAGGGGAAGGAAGGGAAGGAAATTGGAGGGTATTCCCTTCCTTTGTTTGGGAGTTAAAAAAATGGTAAGGGAGAAATTGGAGGGTCAATAAGAAATTTTTACAATTTTACCCTTTTTCTAAAATTAATATAATTATTATATTTCACAAATAAAATAAAATTTAAAATTGCTAAATAAAATTTAAAATTGCTAAACAAAATTATTTATGTATTGTTCAGACTACTAAAAAAGATCATATTTTCAACAAAAATCCTACGTTGAAAACGACAAAAAATCTGTCAAAAAAATATTTTCCGTCGGAATACTTTTCATCGAAGACGATGAAATTTTTAACCGATGAAATATTTTACAAAAATAAAATTTCAGTCAAATTTTTCCACAGAATTTAGTTTTCGTCAAAAGTTTTGACGAATATGATTTGTTAAATATTTTCGACAAAAAAAATTCCATCAAAAGATTTGATGGAAAAAAGAATTCCATCAGAAATTTTGACGAAAAATTTTTCGACCTAAATCTTCGATGAAAATGTGTCTCAATGAAAATTTCAACGGAAATATTTTTTCAAAATTTTTGAGGGAAATGTTTCTGTGAAACTTTAGACAGAATTTAGATTCTGTAAAGAATTTTGACGGAATATTTTTTTTTGAAATGTTTTACAAAAATGTTTTTCCTCAAATTTTTTTACGGAAATAATTTTCGTTGAAAATTTTTGACGAAATGTGTTCCGTTGATAATTTCGATAGAAATGTTTTTTATCGAAAATATTTTTTTTTCAAAAATTTTCGATAGAAATGTGTTTCGTCAAAAAATTTGACGAATTTTTTTTCGTCAAAAAGTATGACGAAAATATTTTCGTCGAAAACTTTTGATGGAATTTGGATTCTGTTAAGAATTTTGACGAAATTTTTTTCGTCAAAATTTTTTACAGAAATATTTTTCGTCACAACCTTTTACGAATAATTTTCAATGGAAATGTGTTTCGATAAAAATTTTGACAGAATATTTTTTACTAAAATATTTTCTGTCAAACATTTTTGACAGAAATGTGTTCCGTTGAAAATTTTGATAGAAATATTTTTTTATCGAAAAACTTGACGAAAATATTTTTCGTCGAAATTTTTTGATGCAAATGTGTTGCGTTAAAAATTTTGACAAGAATTTTTTTGTCAAAAAGTTTAACGACAATATTTCAGTCAAAAACTTTCGGCGGAATTTAAATTCTGTAAAAAATTTTGATGTTTTTCTGTCAAATTTTTTTGATGGAAATGTGTTTCTTTGAAAATTTTGATGGAAATATTTTTTGTGAAAAATTTCGATGAATATGTGTTTTTGTGAAAAATGTTGAGGGAAATGTTTTGATGAAATTTAGATTTTGTAAAGAATTCTGACAAAAAAAAAAAAATTCGTCAAAATTTTTTACAGAAATATTTTTTGTCACAAATTTTGATGGAAATGTTTATCGTAAAATATTTTGACGTAATTGTTTTTCGTCGAAACTTTTCGATGGAAATGTGTTTCTTCAAAATTTTGGACGAAAATATTTTCGTCGAAAGATTTGACGGAATTTAGATTCTATCTATAATTTTGGTTTAATTTTTTTTCCGTAAAAATTTTATGTCTGTAATTATGGCAAAATTTGTTCCGTCTTTAATTTGGTCTTTAGTTTTGAGTGAAGTTTTTTGACGAACATGATTTTCATCAAAAATTTCATCACTATTTTTGTCGAAATATCTTTCGTCAATAATTTCTGTCGGTAGTTGAGATTTTTATAATAATGTAACATTTAAAAATGATTCACATTATGTAGTTTTTACATTTTAATGCTAAGGGTAGATAAGTAATTTTTAATATTTTTCCTCTCAAACCCCCCAAATTGGAGGAACTTAAATTTTAAGAAGAATGATGGTTTTGGAGGGTTTAGTAAAAACCCTTAATTCCTTTCCCTCATTTTTTTTAACTCACAAACAAGGAAAGAGCTTCCTAAAACCCTACCTTCTCTTCCTTTCCCCTCCAAAAACCATCTCCCAAACAGAGTCTTAAGATACCGTAAGATATGATGAATAGCATGAAGACGAAGTGTTACTGGGTGGGAGACAAACTGACTCAGCCTATGCATAATATAGGTAATGTCGGGTCTAGACTGTTGAGATGTTCAAGTGTGATGAGTCCCACATTGGTTAGTAATGGGCTAAGTTAAGAGTATATAAGTGGAAGGACCCACGAACCCAAAGCCTTAAGATTTTGGGTTGAGACATAGTGTCGGATCCACTTGCTACGGTTGGTGTAGCCTTAGCTCATTGGTGGTGGCCCCTCGCTACGAGCTTTCCCCTGGACCCGCCTGACATAGACAAGGTGAAATGTAACAATCTCCCAACAAGGTTTCTGTATTGAGAGCAATCTTACATAAGTTCACTATCACAACTATGTAGAAGTAACTTGGGATCCATTGGATCAACAACAAATTCAGAGGCAAGAAAACTAGTGTCTTCTAATAATTGGAAGATATAGTGTCTTTGAGACAACACTATTCCTCTTTTAGAATGAGCAATCTCCATATCCAAGAAAAATTGGGCTTTAATAATCTCAATTCAAATAAATAAGTTAACCCAATCAAAATCTAGAGTCTATTTCCCGAACCTCGACAGTTAACATCAATACCAAAGTACTTAGTTGATTTTCAACACAAAAAACAAAAGTACTTAGGGGATGTTTGTTTGATAGTATAGGATAAAGTTTGATAGTATAAGATCTGATTAAATTTTAATACAATCTAGCGTTTGACATAGTATTGTACAAGATAATATATTATATAAGATAATATCATTCAGTGTTTAGTATTAATGTACTGTATAATAACAGATAGAATAAAAATAAATATTTTGATCAAAAATATCTTTTAATAAAGAATTTATATAATTCTTCCAAATATGTCATACAATATTAATTTTTATTGAAATCTATTGATCAATGTGTCCAAAAAATATATTAATTTTAATAAAAATAAAAATCTCCAATACTTTAAAAATTTATATATTGAAAAATTATTTTTTTATTTTAATACATTAATATTAAAATAATATATTAATTTTGAGAATTGTACTAATTAATACATCAATCTCTTATCAAGCCTAATCTCACCCTCTTAGGTATGATTAAGTTATGCATCATTTATTTATAAAAAAAAAAAGGTATGCATCATTTTAATGTATAAAGGGATACTGCTATATAAGCTTATGCTATACGATGGTCACGCCAA